GACGAGCAAGTGCACGATATCAGGTGAGCGATTAAAGCTGTTCAATATAATTAGTGCTTCTTACTCAGAGTAATTAGTTACTTTACAGTTTAACGTCTAAAATACGCTCGTACGTACCTACATAACTAAGCCTGTACTACCCAAGTAGGTAAGTAGGTACCCACATAGTATTTTTTAGCTTACTTATTAAGGAACCTATACATAAAAGAAAATTCTTGTTTGTATCTTTTTTCTTCTCAGTTAACTAACATTATTCGTAGAGCCACAGTCAGTTATTTTAGTAATTTGTTTCCTTAACAGTAGTGTGAGGCAAGGTTTATTGCAGATACATATACATCAGATCAAGCGTGTTAGATATGTTTCATGGCGTCTGTCCAAAAATATCTAATTAAATTATGCACCTACATAATCTACGATCTACCTACCAATAGTAGTAGACAATACTTTCAAGCTGCATTATTTGCAGATGAACACACTTGTACTTAGTTGGAATAGGTGATAATTTGCTATAAAAATGTGTAATCTGATCTGCTGCTGTCTGTGCATTTCATCATCATAATACTTAATCAAATTTTTATTGTGAAATAAATACCACTTATTGGTAGGTACCTTATTACTACAGCCCCAATGATATTATATAAAAACAAAAGCAGATATGTTATAAGCGCTCGCGCTGTGAATACTCAAATACGTCCCAATTGGGACGTCTTGTGTTTAGTCTTCGTGTGGCCTGCGTCGTGCGCAATCGCGTGCGTACCACACCGTAAGTTCCTGTTCTTACCAAAATAAATAAAAAATGCCATTGTGTGTGTTTCGAAAGTGTACCAATTATGACTCTAAAGTAAACAAAATACAAGGGATCTCTTACCACATGTGATTATACANCGGCGTAAACGCTCTTAACTTAATAATTCAACATGGAGAGCAACAGTCATCCCAACTAATATTATAAATGCGAAAGTAACTCTGTCTGTCTGTCTGTCTGTTACGCTTTCCCGCTTACACCTCGCAACCGATTTTGATGAAATTTGGCATAGAGATAGTTTGAGTCCCGGGAAAGAACATAGGATAGTTTTTATCCCGGTTTTTGAAACAGGGACGCGCGCGATAAAGTTTTTCTGTGACAGACAAAATTCCACACGGGCGAAGCCGCGGGCGGAAAGCTAGTTAGTAATATAAATGACTGTTTAATATGATGATTACTTACCTCTTTAATTTTTTCAATTGATGACATTTCATCAGCAGAACTACCCGATGACTCTTCAGCAGAATTTTCTTTACTGGAACCAGTGCCAACTTTCTGTACAGCATCTTTGCCCCTTGAATTGACAAGTTTTTTAAACTTGTCTGTCAACTTATTTTTTTTGTTTTTCATCCGTAACTGCTGTTCTACATTTTTCAAAACCTGGTGTTCAGATTCCGAGTCATCTTCTTCGCTAGCAGACATCATCCTGATTCGAGATTTAGTTGGATTTGATCTAACCAAAGTAAGGGATCCTTCATTGTCACTGTTTTCTTTTGAGTTCAAAGTTTCAAAAGTTTTATTAGTAGTTTCATTTGTTCCCTTACATACATCACTATCACTATCAGAGAACCTCTGCACGCGCTTTTTGGTAGACAGTCTAAAGCCAGCTTCTTCATCACTTGATTCAGCGTTGCTTAGGTTAGGTTCAGAATTATGTATCAACTCTTCACTTGAAGATGTTGGAGATACATCACCGTCATTATTGGTATAGGAGAGAGACGGCATAACGCCATCATCAAGCAAAAGACTTTCCATTGTCAATCTTCGTAAAATAAAAGTACTTCAGACACACTACAAAGAATAACACTAAGTAGTTGGTCACTGGGTCAAATTAATACTTTAAAAACATTGTTGGTTATATCTCCGATTTTGTCTCAATTTTAACTAACTATTTTCCAAATAAATCACACGTAAAATAAGATAATCATTTTAATACATCCAAAAATTCTTCTTCTTCTTCTTTGGTTTATGGCGATGAACTTGCGTTTTTTCGCCACTGAGGGCACACTATTCCGCCAATGTCACGTGCGCAGCTTTTACACAGTGCAGTGGTTATAAAATAAGTAATTTTGTAGCTGCAATTTAAGCAAACTTAAATACCTAAAACAAACAGACATCACAAATAAGACAACACAATACGTGAAAATAAAATATAAAAAGAACAAACAATAAAATTATGGGAGACAAAAAAAAGGGATGTTGTTGTTGCGGAAGGAAAAAAAAAAAAAAAAAGTCACAGAGCCAGAGGGATAATTTAAAAACAGAACCATCCACCTACAAATTAATTTTGTTTAAGTTAATGAATTTAACAAGGGATTTTAAAGTGGAAGGGTTATTACAATTAAGTACACACTTAATGTTAGTAGGGAGTGGGATTTTTTTTGGAAGAAAATCAAACAAGGAAGAGCCAATTTTGGGACAGTTAAAAAATATATGGTTGGTTGATCCCTCATCTAAGCCGCACTCACATAGGGAATTGTCTTTAATCCGCATTTTTGCAAGGTGAACCGGGGTACAAGCATGTCCAAGACGCAAGCGACAGATAATGGAAACAGTTCTTTTAGACAAGTGGTGATATTTAAAGAACCAGGGTCTTGTGGGAATGCTCTGTTGGATGTCTGCATAATATCTACCAGCCACTCGTTTAGACTTTTCCCAATGAATATTCCATGATTTGTAAAGGTGACTGCGTGGCAGGGAGGAAGCGTCATGCGCATATAACTTGTAATGTTCCAACGAGCCAGTGGTTATAGCAATTTTGGCGGATGAGTCTACTGTTTCATTCCCAGGAATTCCTCGATGACTTGGGATCCAGGCCAAAACGACGTTTAAATTCTGCTGATTACATTGATATAGGGCTTCTCGTATTTTGAAAATTATTGGAAATTTGGATTTGGATTTGAAGGGATTGGCTAAAATGGATTGAAGACAGCTTAGAGAATCGGTGAAAATCAGAGTGTTATTGAGTTGATGAGAGATAATATAGTGAATAGCTTCAAGTATAGCAACAGATTCTCCGGTGAACACTGATGTAACAGGAGGACACTTAAAATTCAATGTTATTTTGTATGCTGGGATCCATACTGCAGCACCTGTGCATCCACCTTCGTCCAGCTTAGAAGCATCAGTATAGATCTTGAGCCAGCCTTGCCAGTGTTCGGAGACAATATTGATAAATTCTTGGCCTGCAGAACATGAATCTTTAGTTATACCAAAGTTTAAAATTATCGGGGGATGGTAAAGTAGAGATTCAAAGCTGTTAGAGAAAAGGGGATTCAATGTAATTTTTTCAATCGGAGTGGGGAGACGGTTAAATTTCTGGTAACTTAACAAGATACATGGCAAACTCCGGGAGGGGTCATTGTTGATCAGAGAAGAGAGGAGGATTAATTTGTCATTTAATGGGTGAGTTGAGTTTTGAGAAACTTTTAAATAAAATCTGTCACTGAGGTATTGTCTACGCAAATAGAGGGGAGGTTCCACGCTTTCAACTTGTAATCCGTTGATAGGCGAGGATTTCATAGCTCCCAGTATTATGCGAAGACATTTAGACTGGGTTTTAGTAAGCTTATCGAGGACAGATTTGTTNATGCAAAATGGGGGCCCTGACAGTTAATACAAGTAGCTTTGTCTTCCGTAACTTGGCATTCCTCAGCGGAGTGTGGTTGAGTGCATCGGTAGCATCTTGGCTTGGACCGGCATTGAGACTTGACGTGGCCGAAACGACAGCAGTTCATGCATTGGATAGTTGGGAGCTGGTACGTCTCAACTGGTAATGAGTTGTGGAAGCAAAAGACTCTTTCCGGGAGAACTTGACCCTTAAATGTGACTACGACTGTTTGTGTGGGGACCCAGGAAGTTTGATTATCTTGAACTAGTTTCCTATTGAGACGGCGCGCCTTCAAAAGGATACCGCAGCCGTCTGGGGTAGTCAAGGATTCAGCGAGTTCGTCCATGGTCCAGTCTGTAGGGATATTTCGAATGAGGCCCATGCGGGTCACGTTATAAGTTGGGATGGAAGCTACATATTTGTACATGGACAAAATTTCATTACTAAGGAAATTGTTAGCAGCAGTGGATGAAAGAAATTCGACAGAAATCCTGTTTCTGCCAATTTTTTTGACTCCGTCTAAAATAATTCCCTGTATCTTGTTAGTCACAAGAAATTTGCCAAATCTCATGGGTTGTATATAAGCTGGGGAAGAAGGTTCATTTTCCACATGGGAAACGTGAACGATAAAGGGGCCTTTGTCCTGGTCGCTGTAGATTTTAGGAGCAATCACAAGTGAGGGATGTGTGTACACCGATTGATGATTTTGTGAAGATCCGTCTGTGTTTGTCCTCTTGGCGGGCTCGGAGTCAACCTCCGTATCTAGGCGGCGTTTAGTTGCCGTTTGGGAGAATAAGGGTTGGGAGACCTCCATTGTATCCGTCTGATCTGGAGGATCAGGCGGGTCGGGAGGACTAGGGTCCATTTTTGTTAAAACTTACCGAGAATAAATAAACTTATGTACCACCACCCTTGTTTTAGTAATAATTTAGCTTAAAATTGATTTTCTGTAAAAGATTACACTAGTAATTACACCAAAACTAATTGTTTTCCTGAAACACGTGTAGCCACTGACACTCGCGAGACGGAAAAACTTAACAAAAGTTACACGCTCGTTGAACAGTGTTTTAAAGTGACGTTTTGTATGGAAATGTCATTTTAAAACAGTGTTCAACAACTGTGTAACTTTTTATTAGTAAGGGGGACAGTGTTTAACATGGCGCGATGACGTGCTCTCTTCCGTTATTCTACCATTGCCACAGGCATAGCCATAGGGCAATGCAGGTACAGGTTTGGAAGTAGTTCATCAAAGTAAATATGATTTGAACTCGTAATAACAAATATCGATTTAATAACAACCGATTTTTGATTATTCGATTATAGTTGCGGTACAACACTACTGTCAACGTCAGTGAGCCAGCTGACGGTACGTAAATGTCAATGTCAAAGGGGCTCGCAAAATCGTGATCGTGATACGCGTTGTTGTTTTTTATAATAAATTAAATTGATAGCGCTACGTAGTACTACAAATAAGTGGAGGGCAATTTATTTGTTCGTTCCTCGCCATCTCGTCAATTGGCAACGAGATAATAGGCCGTATCTTTCGTTTTATCAGTGTTGAAAACATCGCGCACGGAGATGGTGGTTTCGCGTTGCTTTACGATGAAGAGCCTCAAAATGTTTTCAGTGCAAAGAAGGGGCATGCATTTGCTTAAAGATAAAGCTTACATTAACGGCGAGTGGGTTAAGGCAACCAGCAATGCCGTTTACCCCGTTCAGAACCCAGCTGACGACAATGTCATTACCGAGTTACCTGATATGGACGCTGCAGATGCTAAAACTGCTGTCGATGCAGCTGCAAACACCTTCAAAACCTGGAGAGATACAACAGCCAAGGAACGCTCTTACATATTGAGAAAATGGTTCAACTTGTGTGAGAAACATTCTGATGATTTAGCTGCAATAATAACTGCAGAGGCCGGAAAACCCCTAGCTGAATCAAAAGGCGAAATTGCGTATGGAAACTCGTTTCTGGAATGGTATGCTGACTCAGCCCGCCACATCAATGGAGAAATTGTTCCCAGTCCATGGCCCAATAAGCAAATTCTCTTGACCCGACAACCTCTTGGAGTTGTGTCAGTGATTACTCCTTGGAACTTTCCTTATGCAATGATCACTCGCAAAGTTGGAGCTTTGATGGCAGCCGGGTGCACCTGTGTCATAAAGCCATCAGAAGATACACCATTGTCTGCACTGGCTGCTGCGGAATTGGCAGAGCAAGCTGGAGTTCCCAAAGGAGTCATTAATGTTATTACTTCCAGTAGAAAAAATGCCCCAGGTGTTGGTAAAGTTCTATGTGAGGATGAGAATGTTGGTTGTATCTCATTTACAGGTTCAACTTTTGTTGGCAAAATTTTATATGGCCAAGCGGCTAAAGGAATTAAGAGAGTTGCTTTAGAATTGGGAGGCAATGCACCATACATAGTATTCCCCAGTGCAGATATCGAACACGCTCTAGATCAAGCTATGTTGGCAAAATTCAGAAACAACGGCCAAGCTTGTATTGGTGCTAATAGATTTTTAATTCATGAAGCAGTTTATGATAAATTTGTGGAAGGATTTAAGAGCAGAATTGGCAAGAAATGTATACTCGGTCCCGGAACCAAGGAAGGCGTGACTTGTGGTCCTCTTATAAATAAGGAACAAGCCAAAAAGGTGTCAGGATTAGTAGATGATGCTGTTTCCAAAGGAGCAGAGGCACTGATTGGTGGAAAATTTGCAAAAGAACTTGGTGACAAGTTTTATGAGTCTACCCTACTAGTCAATGTAAAACCTGACATGAATATTTATAATGAGGAGATATTTGGCCCTGTAGCCTCATGTTTGAGGATCAGCAGTGAGGAGGAAGCTTTAAAAATTGCAAACAGCACTAGGAGTGGTCTGGCGGCATATGTATTCACCAAAGACTTGGGTCAAGCATTCAGAATGTCCAGGCAGTTAGAATTTGGAATGGTGGCAATAAATGATGGCATTTTATCTGCCGCAGAGCCAGCATTTGGTGGGATTAAAGAGTCTGGTATTGGCAGGGAAGGCAGTTTACATGGAGCTGAAGAATACACAGACATCAAGTACACTTTAATGTCTGCTTTAGACAAGTGAAGTGTTGACTATGCAACTTATTTGGTTTTTATTTATTTCAAACATATTGCATTTTTAATTTCAATTTGTTACCTTGTTTTAGTAATTAAGTTTCAAAGTTCAAAGCAATCTAAAATTGAGTGTTGTTAAACTGATGTGCATTTATTTGTTGCCATATGTAGGAAATTTATAGTAATCTAATTTGCTTAGTTACCATGTAATTGTTTGGTTTTGTTCCCATCATGGGATAATATTATAATTATTTAAAGCTAATAAGGATAAATAATTGTAATCCATTCCAGTCTTCCAGTTTCTTGTGATTTAGGATTAAAAGTGTTTGACTATTAGATATAGCAATTAATTATTCAGTGACATAATGATATTGTAAATTCAAGCAATGAATTATTGAAGTAAGGACTTCTCTACATTTATGTATTTCCATACTATGTGTTATGATTTTATGCTTGTATTTCATGTATACAAAAATCATGTAATATATGATTGTTTTTTTTTATTCTGTGTTTCAAATTGAAATCCAAATTGGTCATTTTCCCACGAAACATTCGCACTGAACACAAAGAGGTCAGTATTCTAAAATTCTACCAGATATTGTGTATACATGTGATTCACTGCTTAAAAAAGTAACATGTTTTTTTTATTTTTGTTTCAGAATTCAAGAAGTGGACGACAGTTTCTTCGAGAAGTTCGGGTCTATTTTGAGGCAGGCTTCACAAAGGGCTGCGTTAGAGGAGGCGACTCCATTAGCCCCGCTCAAAGAGGCAGAAGAGCAAGATGGAGAACAGAAAATCGAAACGGACTTGCAGAGCGAGAGCCAGAGCTTGGCCAGAGACTCCGACAGCGGGAACGAGACCTTACTCGACACAGACTCGGAACCCGATGATCCGGACAAAATAGATCTCTACGTGGAGGCCGTCGGCTGGAATGTGAGTCAAGTTTTATTATAAACAATATTCAAAACAGAAAACCGCACACTTTCAAAGTCTACGGCTAAGTTTATTAAAATGCGGCAGGTTAAAAATAAATTGATTGCATCACTGGCTCCTGTCGTTCGTGACCTCATCTACTACTAAGCATATTGATCGGCTGATGGTACTCTGCGAGCCCTTACAAAGAACATTAATATTCTGCCCTGTTTTCTGAAGTGTACTTTGTAATCTTTATGAATCTTTCATCGCGGCCATAATCAATACGCAACGCATAGTCGAAGGGCCAGTAGGCATTTTTCCATCTTTTATCAAATGAACTAGACATTGAATTTCGCTGTAATTCCGCGAAAGTGGGACACAAACAGAGACGTTTCGACTGCTCTGACCGGGGCGGGGATTTCGTCTCTTTGGGCACTATTCCAAGCCAATGTCACAATTGCCGGTGGGATACACTATAAAATAATCGATTGACTGTTTTCTGTTATATGATTATTATTCAATAAAGCTATTGTAGATCTTCAGAGTCATCGATAGCAAGGACATATCGTTTGATTAAAGTATGTGCGCGATGTACGGCCGGTCTATAGGCCGTAGGCGTACAATGCTCGCATGTTTCAGGCGGGTGGCAGGTTGCCAGCACCTCTTACTTTTCCCGGGTATTTTGTCAACTTCCCCACCAAGGTTGATCTCAATGACTAACGTCATTAGAGAATGCGCTCAGTCCAATGTCTTTCCCCTGTATCTAAAAGTGGCTTCTTAATACTCAAGGTTCGTCTGTAAAGAAGGTTCAAAGAACTCGATTGGCATACATATTTGACGTTCAATATACAGTGCGTACATCGCATGCATTATTTTTAAAATAATATTACTGCACTTTAATGTTTGAAACCGCCAATTAAATACATATTATTTACTGTGTACAAAAAAGTTTGTTTAAAAGTTTTAACAAACAAGGTTTGATTGTACGAGGGGCGGCTGAAAAGTTTTGAGCCTAGGGTATTAAAAATGCCGATAGAAAAGTATAAAAAATATATTTTTCTATTTAATCTCCCTCTACTACAATGGACTTCTTACATTTGTGTAAAAGAGCTTTTAACCCACTGAAAAAAAATTCGCAATCTTTGCCTTCGAAATGAGCCTTTAATGCCGCCTTCATTTCTTTGTCACTCAAAAATCTTCGTTCCTGGAGGTCTTTTTTCCAATTTGAGAATTAGACAAAACAGCTAGGGATTCGGACTAATCTGTGTGGTGGGTGATTAATTTCTTGAAATCCAGTTTTACCCGGGGCAAGCCATGCAAAATGCGCGGTGTGCGCGGGCGAATTGTCTTGCAATAACAGATTTCCTTTCGCCAGTTTGCCTCTTAATATTTCAACAACCACTTGACGCACTTTTATCAACAGTACAGCATAATAATCCCCGTTTATTGTAGTTTTTTTAAGTAGGTAGTCAATGAATAAAATTCCTCCACAATCCCAAAAATAGTGGCTATGAGCTTGGGTGTCGATCGCTCCACTTTGAATTTCCGCGGCGACGTTTTCCCTTTTGAATCCACTGCATTGACTCTTATTTTGACTCTAGATCGTACTGCCGGATCTATTATTTATCAATAGTGACAATGTGAGAAAAAAAATTGTTAGGATTATGGCCAAAGATGTCCTAAAACTCCTGCGAAGTTGTGACTCGACGCTGGTTGTCGAACGGCGTGAGCATTTTTGGCACCCATCGCACGCACCCCTATTTCATGTGCAAATGAGTATGAAAAATATCGCCAATACGTTCCTTGCTAATGCCTATGGCTTCAGCTATATGTCACAGCTTAATTCGCTGATCTCTAAAGCAAGATTCTTTAAATTTTCATTATTTTATTCGTTAATGGCGAAATCTGGCCGCCCTGACTTGCGGTCATCTTTTAGCGACTCCCTGCCATGCTTGAATTATCGGATCCAATCTTTCATGGTGGCAAATGAAGGCCCAGACTCCCCATAAACTGTAGACATCTCTTCAAATGTTACCGTCAGCGTTTTGTTCCTCTTTTTGAGGTATTTTATGACAACTGTGTACTTCAATTTCGTACATTGCGCGGATGACTGAGACATGATGTTGTTTACGGATGAATTACTAAAAGACTGATGACGCTAATGAAATGAAACTTTGTACATATACTAAGGAGGTTATTGGCAAATTAATTAAATTTAGCGCGAGTCAATAATAACACTTGAAGATACTTAGGCTCAAAACTTTTCAGCCGCCCCTCGTAGGTACCTAGACCATCATCTTAGTAATGAACGAGCCTTTTATTTTGAAATATTTCAGTAATATACATACATATAGCCTGACCAGGAACATAAAAACCCTGGCATAGAGGCGCGTCAATTGCATTTGATAGTGCAACACTGAGTACAGTCGTACCTGTGTTAAATTAATAGGCTAACTTTATGTATCAGGACTCAGGATTACGGGCTAATTTGATATTTTCATGAATTAACGAAAAAATATTATTATAGGTAACCTGGTTTAAATAAATTAAATGAAAACATCAATCGATCTAGTAGGATTTATTTTATTATTCATCAATAATCAAATTCAGAACTTAATATTCAACTGCAATGTCTGCTCATGAACGCTTCAAACTCGGTACTTCTTTCCCAATTCCATAAAATTCAACACTTAGAAAGTGACAAAAAACTTTAAAATAGGTAGTTGAAACAAACCACAGCTAATTTTCATAGTGGACTGTACTATACGATAAACATGTCAGTCAATTTGACACCCTTGTCGGAAAAATTATTCAATGAAAATATTGTCCGAACCCTTAGTATTTCTCTTCGACAAATACTTTAACACATTGTGAACCACTTTTCTTTCACGACTATGAAAAGATTTTAGCAATTTAATTCACAAAATCAATTGCGCACATTTAAAATAAAGTTTGTTTACACTTTGACAGCAATAGACTGACATGCAAGGTGACATGACAATGAAGTTTTCAGTTACTGTTGCCATTAAAAGAAATTAGTACCATTTTTTTTCCGCAATATGGCGAGGGTTTTTATGTTCCTGGTCAGGCTATACATAGAATCCAGATTAGTATTAGACAAAATGCATTAGGGTACTCAACATGTTGTTCTGGAACAATCTGGAAATGATACAATGTCTGCACAAGAACTGCAGTATGTTTGATAAGTAGCAGCAATCGAACTGAATTTAGATCACGTTTAGCGGACCACTTAAATTATAATATTCAACCAATAATGTTTATGCTTTTCAATGAATGTTTATTGTTTTACTAATTTGTATTTAGTATTTGATCAAAACACGTGTCGGTTTAAATTTCCATTTATATTCAAGTCGAATCTGCAAAATGTAGTATTATAAACGAGGACTTAATGGCGGTGTGTACGACTTCCTTGAATCCTCCACGTTATTACTTATTATTTCATCATTATGTTTTACACAAGAACAATTCATTTAACCATTAATAGTTACGTTAATGGTGTATGATTCCGTAGAATATCCATTAAACTATTCCGCTAAATTATCAATTGGATAATTTCAAGATTTTAGATTACATATCAAGAGTTGCAGTTGCACATAATTGAAATTATTTTTCAAGTGATGCCTGATGACTTTTATCTTTAACAGTTAATAATCTTGATTTGTTTGAAAGTTATCGCATTGATTAAGTACCGTTTGTGGTAGCAAGTTCATTTGTATAGTTTTGTATTGAGAAGAGAAGTATCCGTGTTAGTGAACGTAAATTACGAGTATAGCGTGGCTAATAAAATAAATAAATCGATCAACACCTTGGCTGCGGTGGAGCAGATTCTGTTAGCTGCGAGCAAAACAGCGCGCATATTGTAAACAATTCTAAAAAAATCTCTTTTTAGCGCCATAACTGTAATTAGGCAAAGAATTGGACCGAGTAGCCCGCTAAGAAACACAGTAATGCAGGTAAGGCGAAGTCGTAGAAAAAAAAAGTTACAGATAAGTAATAAGAATAACTTTGGACAACGACAAGTAGATGAGACCACCTCTTCCAGGAAATTTATTAGATATTTGGCTGTTATGTTCCCCGATTCTCTCAAGTTATCGCATCTTTTCCTCTTCAACGCCTTTCGTTGAGTCGTGTTTCTTTTGATAACGGGAATTTATTTAAATGGTATTGATTACGAAACCTTCAGACCTTATTATATAATAGCTTTATAGTCAACACAAATACATTTTATGACCTGAAATGCTTGTGTAACCAATAAAACTTCACATAATATTTTATAATATCGATTTTTTATCTGTAATTGAAGATCGTAAATCTGATTCTCCATTAGCATAGAGATTATGAGGCTATAACTAGGAGGTACTTCAAAAAATGGCGTCAGAGCAAGATTTATAGGTCGCGAGAAAGAGAGAGTAAGGGAATGCACCAGAATAAATCAGCTGTAGATAGGTATAGTTGATTGGGCGTATTGAGGTATGGCGATTCTTAGCGAGAACACGTAGCTATGAACAGAACGGAAGTTCCAGACAACAGCTGATGAAAAAGTTTGGGTAGTATTTTTTTATTGCTTGGTTGAGTTCGCATTCGTCTCCGTTTAGCGGCGCCTTGCAAAAATAGAATTTGGCGTTCAGAGCGAGTTGAATCCCAAGTTCCGACCGTCAGTGCACCGGCGGCTCCCACCAGACACATTTCTGTTTCAGCATTCATCCCACTCGTATCACTCATGTGTTTATGCGCTCCTCGTTAAATAGCACTCGTGGTTACTATATAAAACAGTGATAGTGTTGTGTTATGTAAACAGTTCAGTGAATTAAAGTCAAGATGAACGGCACGGGGACACTTCGGACTAAGTTCAGGGGCGTAAAGAAAGAGTTACTGGACCGGCAGACCAGCCTCATCATACAGTCTATGACTGTTCGTATGTTTTTTTGTAGTTTAATAAGTGTTAGAATTTGTATTTAGTGTTATGTTTATACAGCATATTTGAATTTAATAGTTCATTCAAAAGTCAAGTGAAGTATAAGTAGTGTACCTTTATGTCGGTCGAGAAATGATAACGGGCCGTTTTTTGGTTCAGTGGTCACCACTTTAAGTGTTATTCCCACACCATTGTCTTTCGAAGATGACTCATTAGCCCAGTTCGGGGAAGTTTTGATACGATTTAAATATGTGTTCCCTCGTTCCTCGCTCCGTTGATCTAATACAGAGCTAGACTCTAGTATCGTAATATAGAGCTAGACTATTCACTGGAACGGGTAATCGAAAACACCACCAAGCTTTTGAGTGATCAATAAGCTTCCCACGGCGGCGCAGTAACCCTGCCGTTTTAGCGAGGGTGGGTAGTTGTACCGTGGGCTCCTCGCGACATGACAGTCCGAATTGGTCGCGTGTTTGGCCATGGTTTGTTCCGGTGGTACCTTGGTTACCAACTTCACCCGCCCTCTGGGCTTATTACATCGAATTCACTGCACTAGTTCAGTAAAGCATTTCATTTGCGTTTCAATATTTAAGTCAAATAATAGTTAATGAAATTGTATTACTTTTATGAATCTTCGGTATGTGTTAACTATTTTGAAACTTTCTTATAAACCCGCGCTATAATTGAAAATAAACCATTAGTTTCGTCGTGTAAATATTTCTAATTGATGCCAGTGTAATCCTAAGTGCTTATTCCCACATAGGTAGTTTTAAAAATAGTGTTGTGTTTACGCTACTCCGAAGCTCAGGTGTGAAAATACCTGGTTCAAATTATTTCTGTTTAATTTCAGATTGATGAGCTCTACCTTGAGGTATTGTATGAGATTTTGCACAATGTCGGGGGATGTGACGTAGGGTGCGAGGTGGGTGAGCAGGCGATGTTGTCATACGTCCAAGAAGCTTTCAAGATATCGAACGATAAACACACAGAACTGCTGACTCAGGCGGAGGCGAAGGAGCCTCCGGAACTTATGCTGAATGTGGAAGTCATAGAAGCGAAAGACCTCGTGCCCAAAGACCCCAATGGTCTCAGCGATCCGTTCGTCACGATATATCTGATGTCAAATTCATCGCATAGGTACAACACTTCGGTGAAGTCAGGAACCCTCAATCCGTTATGGGAGGAGCATTTTTCTTTGTAAGTATTGTATTATCTGTTTTCTTCATGTCGCATGTAGTAGAGTTTTGTAATGACTATTTTAATTCGCTTACTCAACTTATTCAAGAGTGAAATGAAGTCTACAAGAATACTATGTAGGCCTATAAAAAAGGTCAGTTTTATCTATTTCGAGTCTGTTACTTAGTAATGTATCGGAAATACTTTCGTTTAGTACACAGTGTAGAGTTTATGCGAAAATATTGTTAGAGTACGCTCGCTCATTGTATGGAAGCAATCGTAAAGTTCACCGTTTACGACTGCATTAGCCTCAGGTCTTGCTCTTGGCAGTAGGGAGAGTTCGGCCTTGTTAAAGTAATGTAATATTGTATACTAACATATTTGTAGCATACATTTAAACAGGACGTATTTGTTGCAGACCGATGCCCGGAAACCTACACGAAGACTCGCTTTGTTTAGAAGTTTGGTGAGTTTGTTATATTTTACTCGATTTAGCTGTTTCTGGGCACTAACTGAGATTCAATACTATTTGTAACTAAACATTTGTTGAGGATATTTAGCAATTGATAATGTACTTAGTATTACAACATACTTGTGACTCACGAATTGTGAGAGACAAAGTTATCAATTATTGCATTACGCAACTAATAAAATCGAACATTATTTAAAACACACATTGCAATTAATTAAAGACTTGAAGTTTATGACTATAGTATTATTTTAAATTGTCATATCTCTAATATTTCTCATTCAATTTTTATCTATTATCTAACTAAAGTATTAGGGATTCTTATTACATTTTTCGAACATAAAAAACCGTGCGTCTGTTTATTCCAGGGACTTCGATCCTGCTGAGACGGTGAAGGAGAAAATGACGAAGATATTCGAAGTCAAAGGTGTGAAGGGTCTTCGGAAACTGATGAAGGAGATTGCCATCACGGCATCCACTGGGAAACACGACAATGAGCTTATCGGCACGTCAAATATACCGCTAAAGGTAGGTTCATCATCATCATCTCAGCCATAGGACGTCCACTGCTGAACATAGGCCTCCCCCAATGCTTTCCATGTTGCCCGGTTGGTAGCGGCCTGCGTCCAGCGCCTTCTTGCTAACTTTATGATGTCGTCGGTCCACCTTGTGGGTGGACGTTCCACCTTGTGGGTGGACGTTCCACGCTGCGTTTTCCGGTAAGCGGCCTCCACTCTAGAATCTTGCCCCATCGGCCGTCAGTTCTGCGTACTATGTGCCCTGTCCGTTGCCACTTCAGCTTGCTTATCCGTCGGGCTATGTCGCTTCCTAGCTCGCTAAGCTCATCCAAAAAGCTCACTATGTATCCTTTGTTTAGGTACTAGGTACTTAAAAATTGTGTTATTGGAACACAGCTTGTTTTGCATAGAACATCAGTTTTTTAACGATTTTGTTATTGCTGGTATAATACAAAATGCTCAATATTATCAACATTACTTACGTAATTATTGTTTTATGGATTTTAATGTAGTAGGTATAATTATATTTTGCTTGTGGTTAGGTTATTTTAAGAGGTCAGTCAAACCTAAATTACGATGTATTAATTTGCTTTTAATTTAATTGCGGGTTTTAGTATCACTCTTCGGGGGACTACCCGGTCTGATTCATATATTCGGCGGGCATGTGTGAATAGGTCGAAGGGTTTTATTTGTGGGAACGAGAGTTGGGATTGCCCCTTATATGTATTCTGTATTGTGTCCTCACAATGAAAGGACGTGGAAATACTAATAGGGGACCTCCGTCCGCTGTTCTGTGATTGCCGAAGTGTCGCGCACTGAGACTAATAGTTCACAAGTAGTCTGCAAGTATACAAATACCCTGCAAGTATGTATCTTATATCAATCCGCTTTGCTACAGTATTCAAGCTTCTGTTATTTTAGAAACTTCTACTTAGATAATAAGATAGATAATGTTATCACTCACGAAGATAAAGCCGTGAAAAATGTATTCTAGTGGATTAAATTCTGAGTCCAATATCAGTGGGCCGGTCTTAGTTCAAACTATTGCTTATATATGAACGATGACCGTATGAATATCATCTAATGATTTGCAGTTTTGTAAAATTCAAGGATATTAATGAACGGGAAGAATCTTAATTAAGCTATTTATAGTTATTTACTTATTGAATTGTTTATAGAGCTACGCTTTCAGCGATCGATAGATAGAATAAACTTTATTGTACACCACGCAAAATAGGCACATGTAAAACATCAGGCCTCCCCAATCCTCAACCAAACAGGTTGGGCTTGGTTGGCCAGTGTGAGGAGTGTAGTAAATATAATAGAGGAACGTTCTGTTGCAATGGACACCAAATGAGCTGATGATGATAGAAAGTACTACAATAAAATTACAAAGAAAGTACTAAAATTATGATGATAGATAGAAAGTTCATTGATCAATATTTGAAATAATCTTTCCCCAGTCCATCCCGGCCGGCGGCATGACAATGTGGTTCAACTTGAGCAAGAAGAGCAAGTTACGTCGCCAGGGAGTGGTCAAAGTGCGCCTGAACTTCTCCTCCGAGAAGAACTCGCAAGTGGCAGCACAGGAACACCGACATCTGCTGAGGATACTGCTGCTGCATGAGCTGGAGAGCTCGAAGGTAATGATATGTTATCTAGCATTATTACTGTTTTTATTTCATTAGGAATACCTCTTAGTTCAAAAGTTAATTCTAAAAAAAATTAAAAAACAATCTCATCTATTTTTTGTCATTTTTTTCTTAGATCAAAATGGTCTAGTTTCACTTATTTTCAAGTGCACTTTTTTATCAAAACTAACTGTATTTTTATCCAAAATCTCACCATTCGATATTATCTCCCATTTGCTTCTAGTAAATTAGGGTATGTTTCACTCGTGGGTTCATTTACAGACAGACTGAATGACCTGATGATGATTTTTAATGAGCTACATAAATACCTCGAAGTAGATTTACCTTAAGGTGTATTTATAACTTTAATATCATGTGGCGGACATTAGTTTTGTGTTAAGGTGAGCAGTAGATAAATTGTGCTGAGAAGTTACAAGCTACTGATTTTGAGTTATAAGATATCTGATTGCCTCTAATCATCTCATGTCCTTGATCTTATCTATAAGTGGTCAGTAGTGGGCTCGATTCCGATATGTATTTGTTTGCATTATGTAAATAAACATTTTAGAGACATTTGACTCCAAGATAATATTCATTGTTCCTGGATACACGACTGCCAACTGGTGTGGGTTGTGAAGATGATATTAATAGCGCTGATGCAATTGCACAAATAAATAGTGATGATTACATAGTTGAATCAGATATTTTTCAGAAAACAAATGCACAATTTTAATCTTTACTTCAAGATGCAGTAAAGATCCAAAAGTACGTTTAATTCTGCGGAGTTGTTAAAGACACGCGAAAACAACTTTTATCTCAACATTTGTTGTTTTTATTTAGCAAATGACTTCATGCCCGCATTGGACTATAAATTATTATTATTGTGTTCGATCCGAAGATGTTAAAAAATACATTTAAATCTCCTAGAGATACCGTTGCAACAATGACTAAACACAAATAAAACTGATGTCATTTTCAAATTAAACTCCAGGTGGCGCCATTCTGGTGGTGCGGCAACTTCAGCGCGCCGGCCGAAGCGATCCTCACACAGCATGCCGCTCAGAGCGGTCTCACGCCAACCGACAACTGTCTCGCGCAGTGGAGCGTGTTCTGCGCAGTCACACCTGACCACCCGCTCAGTTTCGCGCTGTTCAACCAGCTGTTGGATAAGCTGACCAAGCCGTTGCAGTCTGGTGAGTGCTTCATACTGCAGCTTCTGCTTTTTTGCATCGCTGCGGCACATTAGCGGAGGAGTCACTATTTTTCGCCGGGATAAACTTGACCTTCATTGGTTGCGTTTTTATAGCTGTCAAGCTGTAGATCCTGGCTACACAGGAGTTGCAGCGGTAGGAACGAGAGGTGGGAATAGTCCCGTTATTTTTCTGACACTCCTGTGTTTGTTACTCTTACTTTTTGCTTATTGCGTGTCAGTGTGTTTTGCAAATAAACCTTTTATCTATCTATCAATCATACAAGCGAGCATATTCGAGCATATCTGCGTTTTATTTTATTGGACAACAGCTTTAAGTACATAGTGGAGACTCTTTTAGGCAATGGAAAAATGAGTTTTATTATGAGCCAACGATCTTTCATTTATGAGCTGGCAAAGTTCAAAGAGGTCATCGTAACCACATACCAATACATTAGATATTAGAACTACCTAACGTGATTGCGTTCTAAGTGGTGTATCAATTTCACACAGGGCTCGTCAGTGAAGAGGATGGAAAGCTTTTCTGGGACGGCGCCAAGAAGCTACTCCCAACCTGTTACAGCCACATCAGGAAACTGAGGAAAAAGACTGCCGGCGACAAAACTGTGATGAAAACGCTCAGAGAAGTGCTGAAGATTCTGTACAAACTATCAGTATTGGACCAGCCAGAGACCGTCGATTTATTTCCTTCCACGTTGTATGGGTGGTTGAGAGAAGGCCAAAAGTTGACCATCCATGAGGTGTTGAACCAAGCAGTCATTCAAGGCGCTTCGGACTGGTTTGTTCATATACTGGACAATAATGAGTGCAAAGACAAGACGGAGGATTCCAGGCTTCAGCATCTTATTAGAGTAATACAGTTAGTGCGGTCTGATCTGCAGCGAGCAGTCGAATACTATGATAGAGTATTTGTTGAGTAAGTAATTCAATTTCTTTATCAATATTTAATTTAAAAAATTGTCTCGTCCACATAAGCACATATTTTTGCCAAAATTATGGTTTTGTTCGACATAAAGTAATTGGTACAAGTTACGATTATTTAGCAGCAACTTAAATCCAGTGTTTTAAGAAAGTCGTTGTGACTTATTGAGACGAGCTTTGATATTGATTTATTAATTAAATTGACTGTTTTTTTCCAGAGTAATGTCGTTCCCATATTCGAAGTCGTTGTACGGTCTATACGAGAACAAGATATCATCGTTAGTAGAGCCTGAGGTCATACAAGTGTGCGAGAGTTTGGCTCGGGTGAAGATTGGCTCGACCAGTAGTGTGCATTTAGCTGGAGGGGATAATGGAAACAGCGAGACGGAATCAATGGCGATGGGCACTACGCTCTTTGAGCTGTATTTGACGTTGCAGAGGTTTTTAACGTAAGTATTCATTGTATACTATATTAAGTTTCCGTAGGCACTCGAGAAGATAGTCAAGCCCGTTTTCACCTCATCCATCCATTCCATCATATGAAAAAAGTCCATGTGTTACCATAGGGGTTAATAAAAATTTGGGGATTGATAGTGAAAACGGGCCAGGTGACTAAACCTGTTTTCTGTAAAGTAAAAAGACATTTTATTGCCAGCAAAACTTTAACAGGCAATTATTATTAATGTATTAGGCTGGGCTTGTATCGCGGTAGAATAGAATCGTGAAGTTCATTTTTGTTGACCAAAAATAGCTCCTGTTACAACTTCTGAGCGTTCTTAACTCGATTATATCACATAAATTTTCTATGGCCATTTTCAATTACAGCTTAGGACAAGGTCTAAACGAGACAGAATGGAGTAACTACTCCATATCCCAGTTCCACTCATGGTTCTTTGGAGGCGTTGCCAAGTGGCTGGAGATAGCTGCAGAGAAAGCCAAGACCCGCGTCGAGAAAGCCGTGGATTTGGACAACTTGGTTCAAGTGGACACCAACGTCAAGTATAGCAGTTCAGGAGTGGACACGCTGGCTATATTCTACCAGATCAAGATATTCTGGCAACAGCTGGCGTGGCCTGACGTGGAAGGCTGCTATACTTTTGTAGCTAAAATCATTGATGTGAGTAGTATCTCTGTATTTTAAGTGTTCTGTGTAAAAGACTCCCAGTAAAGACAGACCAGTGGTCATGTATTGTAAACAAATGAAAGACGTTAATCGTGTCAATGTCCAGTGAAATATGTTGTAATGGTCCCATATAATTAAAATAAATAAATAAAATAAATAAATATCATCTTCTTTAAGCTACTTTTTAGGGTTCCATAGTTCAAATACTCCATTAGCTCCAATTGCAAGAGCATTTCAATGCCACTGACTGAAAACAAAAGATTTTTTGTATAGCGTATTGCGATATTATCAATATTAAAGTTTCATCGGTAGAATCCAATAAATTTCTGATTGTTGTATGCTTTTAATCCTTTTTAAGACTTATAACAGCTCTGTCTGACTTATAATATAAACCAACCCCAATCAGTGTTAAAGGATAGTGTCAATTCATAATCCATTCTCACAGGACATCTGCCGTTGCTGCGTAACATACGCGGACAAAATGGAGAAGCGCGTTAGCGACATTGGCACTGTGACCACAGTTTACGAAGAGCGCTTCGAGGTGACCACCGAGTGGTGCGTGGCCATAAACAACATAGATTACGTGCGGCAGAGTTTGGAGCCGTTTGTCCAGGAGTTGGGCATGGAGGAGATTATACACAAGATGTGCGAGGCGAAATCTCCTATTGAGGCGCAAAGGTCAGATATTTACTAATTTGTTATTATAAAATGTACAGAATAATGGCTACCTACCTAAGTAAACTCCGACAAAATTACTTCGACATTATGTTACTCCGACACTACTGAATATCGACATGGCTTTACTTCGACACTACACTACTCCGACAAAGGATATTCGCTTTTGTCTGAGTTGTCGGAGTTTATTTAGGTAGCCCAGAATAATAATTAAGTCATAGATTTCTTTTGTCTACACCTACAATATGAAGGCTCTGGCATTGTCAATGGCGATAAAATACACCGACGCATAAAAGTAGTTGCTCTACAATTGTTGCTCTTATTGCGCGTTTATATGAAAAGTTTTATCGTTTCTGCTATGTTCCTCGGAATTACACATTCAACACTAATTACAATGATTTTAAAAGTAAGAAATTATTTTATTTTTCAGATGTAAGCAAACGTTACAGAATGTGATGGCTAATGCAATAGACACTGTAAATAACAAAATTGTAGATCTGCTACAGGAAATGGTTAAAAGGGTACGTATTTTTTATGGCTTTTTAATTCTTTTCCTAATTTAGTTACATTTAATTTGTCTTCCAATTAAGTATCATAAGCCAAACTATCGATAATTTTTACTTTTATTGCGTTGTAGCACAGAGCATGGAATCGCCATATTCCATGCTCTGTGCGTTGTAGCTTTAACTATAGCACAAAATAAATTAATTGTGATGTTTCAGATGATGCCATCAATAAAACGTTTCCTAGTAGAAGGGGCTGAACTGCTCCACCAAGACTGTTCCAGCATGGACCGCGTCATGCGCTACCTCGAAGCAAACCTCGATACTCTTTACCAGCATTTAAACAACGAAAACTTCTCCAGAACCTTAGAAATCGTGTGGAAACAACTTGGCGACGTATTGTATGATCTCATCCAACTCAACAGAGAGGTATGTGTGTTAAGTACACGTAAAAAACAGTTTTGTATTAACAAATTAACAGCGTGTAACTTGCATAGTGATAACAATCGTATCATGATAACTATTATTCGATACACTTTTATTATGGGATTCAGTGGATTTTGGGTTTAGTAGTTAACTGTAGATGTAGGTATATAGTTAATACAGGGTGGAAACGATAAGTGATCTCACTCGATTATTTCTAAACTATACAAGATATCCAAAAACTGGTTACTGATCCTGAAAGTCCTACACAAGCTCTATCCAACGGTATAATAATAGTTTACAAAATAAACTAGATCTATCCGAAAATTCAATGTTTCCAGCTTCCATACTTTTAGTAAAACCACATAATATCAAAAACTATACGAGATATCCAAAAACTGGTTACTGATCCTGACAGTGCTTCATGAGCTCTATCCAACGGTACCAATAATAAGTTACAAAATAAACTGGATATATCCGAAAATTCAATGTTTCCAGCTTCCATACATTAAGTACTGCCACTGTCATGGCACTCATGTCCTGATAAAGTTATAGCAAGTAAAACCTAAAACCAAAGTTTTCCATGAATAATTTTAAATAAGAATGCAATTTACGAGTTAATTTTAAGTGTTTATAATTAAACTAGCTGTGCCCGCGACTTCGTCCGCGTGGAATAATGACTTTGGGTAGGCACTTTTAATAATTTAGTCTAATTATTTTACAAATAGCTTTTGCCCGCGACTTCGTCCGTGGAGAAGTCGAAAACGTTCTCATACGATTATTTTTAAATGTTTTAACGTTATTATCTAAATGTTTGAATACTTTTAAAATATAAAAATCAGGTTAAATAAACATGAAAATATTTTTTCTTATATTTTATGAATATGCAGCTCGGCCTTTGATCCGGTGAAAGTTACTCGGTGGTATTATTTTTTTACAACGAAATCGAAAACTACACCTACCGCAGTATTATTGGTAAACTTTTTTTTATATTTTCCTACGGGTGCTAGAATCACCAAGCTTCCAGCATGCCACTGGCCGTGGGAGAAGGAGCTTTTCCTCAAGACTACTCCCACTACCTCAAGGGCCTCCGCCAAAACTCTCGCGCGAAAATGAGTTTATGTATACAGCGCAAGCAGGTGCCCGCGGCATGACTTTCATGCATTACTATGCATTGTTGGGCGAGCGCACGCAGCGGGCACCCACTCCGAGGTTAAGTGGAGGCCCCTAGAGTATGGTAGTCGTTAACATGACGTCATGATTGTAAAAAAATGCACTAATGAGTAATTAATATCAACTTTGAAGCAAATCACCACTAAAATAACTTTCTACCCCTTTTTAACATAGTTAGGGGGTGCATTTCACTAAAATACGAAACACGTCTTCCATTAATTCTGTTATAGAATGCTTATGCAAAATTTTAAGTAGATTGGACGAAGGAATCTCGTTATTTCATACAAACTTTGCCCCTCCTTTTTACCTCCTTAGGGGTAGAATTTTGGAAAATCCTTTCTTATCAGATGCTTACGTCATACAAAGAACACACCGTCCAAGTTTCAGGTCTTTACGATCAGCGGTTTAGGCTGTGCATTGATCCATCAGTAGCGCGCGTAGTACTTGATCATTATTTTGCTGCGATGTGATTTTAAAACTGCGATATCTCCTAAGATATTTATTGAAATCGAATGGTGTAAAGGGCAAGAATGTTTAAAATTAAATACTTGTGGTGAATAATTTATTTATTTGGATAAGGATTAATATCATGTTTATAAAAACACCTTCGCAAATAATGCATTATTTTAAAACAGATTTTTTTTGCATAAAAATGGTTACTATGAGCCAACCTTAAAAGATAGACATATGCTACCGCGGACTTTTTTAAAGAACTTTTAAAGGGGAACAATCCTGTCATACATGATTTTTGCGAAACTTTAACCGTTTACGCAGCGTCAGCTCTCAAAACGAAAAAAATCACTGATTTGAAATATTCTTGATTGGTGCTCCGCTCCTATTGGTCTTAGCGTGATGATAAATAGCCTAAAGCCTTCAGGAACTAACGGGCTATCCAACACAAAAAGAATTTTTCAAATCGGTCCAGTAGTTCCTGAGATTAGCGCGTTCAACCAAACAAACAAACAAACAAACAAACAAACAAACTCTTCAGCTTTATAATATTAGTATAGATAAAAAAATTAACACTTCTAATATTGTGTGGCTGGCATACATTTAGTATGGAGGCTGAAAACATTGAATTTTCGAATAGATCCAGTTAATTCTGTAACCTATTACTGATACCGTTTGAAAGAGCTCGTGAAGCACTTTCAGGATCAGTAACCAGTTTTTCGATATCTTGTATAGTTTAGAAATAATCGAGTGAGATCACTTATCGTTTCCACCCTGTATACTTGTATTTTGATGTTTCTCTACGTAGGCTATATTGGGTAAAAGTATTTTCACTGAATTCTTTAACTTAACACATGAAGACTAACTTATTACTAATAACTAATTTCGTTTGTAGAAAGAGACACTCTCCGACCGTATCAGCTTTATTAGGCGTAGATATTTTGGCAAAAACAAAGTATCTCCCAGCTATGTATATTTTCGGGTAAATAATATAGCATATACGCACGCTACTGCAATATTACTTAGAAGTGCGCACTGTCACAAAATTATATTGTTTTTAACAATTAAAAAGTTTTATTTATAGTTATTTGTTTATGTTTTGTTTATAGAACAATAGTAATATAATTTATTGTTTATTAGCGCCGAAGACAAAAGATATCACGCTATATCGACCCGCGGCGCTTGAGCAAAACGGACGCCGTCCACTTAGAGCGTGCGGTAAAACACACACTGATAGCACCTTGCATATTTGTTATGTTATTGTGTTATATATTATATGTTATATGTTTATAACTCGGCAACTTTAATATAGCGACACTAGGTTACTTACAAAAACTATAAAATTATTGGTTATATTATATTTTGCAATTTATTGCCAACAGAATTGAACTAAATAATTTAATAATTAGTTTACATGAATTGATCGTATTTCTTTTGGATTTTCTAGATAGCATAATTGCTATCAATAATTATGTGATAATCAGTAACTAGATTTTATAATTACATATTTACTTTTAGTAACTTATTCTGTAGCATTTATTTGTGAATTTTCCTTAAAAGCACAATAAAAATAGACGCACAGTTATATTATTAAATCGATCTCATATTTGCGCTATAATTGATGTTGCCGAGTTAAAACTTCCCGAAATATGATTGTTAGAGCTTCCATGATTGTTAGAAAATGTCCAAAAGTTGTCATGTTTTGTGTTGTCGTATAGAAGATGAGCGGCATGTGCGATTTTTGTTGAATGTTATACGAATTTAGGGCCTTGTTATAAAATATACGAGTTTATTTATTATTCATAATAATAAACGCGAGAGAGGGAAAGAGTTTTAACAAGCGAACTCTCCACTAGTTTGGTTAAATCTTGAAGTGTTTTATATTAGTCAGGATTATTTCTATTTAGCTTTGATCCTAGCATTCCTATTGAAATTTCCGTTATACGGTTTTAAGCATTATCTATTTATGCCTCCGTCACTTGTTTTAAAAAACAGGAGGTTACTTGTCGAGTCTATACATATAAAGAATCAAAATATACTTAAAGGTTGTCAATACACCTTTTTCGAAAACATTATCTTTATAATGCTTGTTTTATAATACGGCTTTTTAGATATGAATGGCCTTATGTACCTATTTAAGTCCTAAATCCCCATAGGGGTTATCTGAAGAGCAGAAAAGTCGGCTAGTGTCCATTATGCATTATTATATTTATAGCTATTCCATTTCGACACATGCATTGCATGCTACGCATGTCTACATTATAAAGTAGAAACAAAAGCTACGAATTAAACTTAAATACCTACATACAGTACATAGCATGTTTGGTGGTGGTTCCTATATACAGAAACAGAGAGATCGACATTGAAAGGACATTTCATTTTAAAATTAACTTCATTGTTATTATCTCGTTGATATACCTAATTTATTCATTAACTTCTAATTAACTAAACAATAATGAATTAAAACGGTGGTGGTATTTTATAGCACTAAAATCTTTCAGAGTAACATTGTATTATTTCTTGAGATCTTGTTTGTATTATAAAACTTCTCTCACTTAGTATTGTTGATATTTCTCCTCGAATTAATAAGCACTATCTCCCTGTTTCTATCTGACCTTGAGTTTGTCTAAGCATTGTGGTGATGGCAATAAAGTCTACTTTTCCTTGTCCTTATAAAACCTTAATTTTACAGAAACGCCGTCCACCAAGTTTCTTTTCAAATCTCCACGAGTGTTTGAACATTATGATCCAATCGTTCCGTCAAGATAACAAGGAGATTGAGAAAGACGACACTTTGAAGAAGGTGGAGTATTTGTTGAAGCTGAACGGTATGGAGACTAGAGAACTGATTCATCAGTACTACCTAGAAAGGTGGCAGGAGCAACAGGCGATCACTGAACCCAAGATGGGCATGTTGACTGTGAGAGCGCAGTTCATTGAGGATAATTTGAAAATTGAGATCATGAACGCGAGGAATTTAACGCCTGCGGATTCTAATGGTATGTCTAGTATAAATAAGTAAATAAAAATACCTATAGTGTGTACTAGCGGCCGCACGCGACTTCGTACGCGTGGATCCCGTTTTACCCCCTTCATCTATCTTACGCGGTTTAGATTTTTCATACAAAAGGAATTTTCCGCTAATTCTCGTTCCCGTGGGAATTTCTAAGTATACTATAACCTGCCCAGGAGTATGAAGAATAATTGTACCAAGTTTCGTTAAAATCCGTCGAGTAAAACATTTTACTGATTGCATTTTTGGCATCAGTATCGATCACTAATCACCCCTTGATAGTTATTTTGAAAATATATTTCATGTACAGAATTGACCTCTCTACAGATTTATTAGTAGTATAGATTGCCTTACTTATTATTGCTCGATGTTCCCAAAATGTTGTGTCGTTCGTAATAATAATAATTGTTTGTTCGGTATAGTCGAGATTAGAAAAAACAAAAGAAAAACAAAATTAGTCGTTCAAAATTTTCTTAGTGGCCAGTGTCGCGCGACTAAAGAGTCCGTGGCACAGACTTTAGCAGGGATTTTTAAAGGATAATTAGTTTTGACCTGTGTTTTTGACAATATTTGATAGGTATGTGTTTATTATGAGTTTAATATTCATTTTAGGTCTCTGCGATTCCTACGTCCGAGTTTCCTTACTGCCGGAAGACTCGTTTGCGAATGTAGTGAAGCCGAAAACACAAACACACAACAAGAATCTCTTCCCGCTCTACGATGAGATGTTTATTATGTGAGTATCACTTGATTGCATGTTATATTATCTTTAATAACTTATTGCAAATTGTTTTTATATACAGGGTGTCCCGTAATGTAACGTCAAGCCGGAACTGGGTGTTGAGACAAGTTGTGCTGGTTATCAGAAAAATATAAAAAAAATCTATGTGGCATATTTTAAAAATAATAGGCATTTAAAAAAAATCAAAAAATTCTACTCCAGGTGACGGTCTTTTTACTCGTGTTGCCACAAATCTTCACTTTTTCCAAATTTTTTTTTGTTATGTAACCCTGAATAATGCTTCTCTAAATTGTTATCAAAATTACAAACCAGCTGCTCCAACTTGGATGAAAAAAATACATTATTCCCAAAAAAAAATATGAAAATAAAAATTTTGCCTAGTTTAAACTGACTGTACTGAAAAAAAAATGTACTACGCGAGTGTGGCAAGTGACGTCATAATTTGGCGCATTTAGTAAGGATTCCAAAATGGTATAACACTTTGTAAAATCTTGCTGTAATTGTCGACAATTTTTGTTTATTGGAAATAATCCCGTTTTTAACTTTATCTACCTTGGTTAAAAATATTATTCTAATGTGCCCAAAATTTAAGTTTCTGGCTTAAGTGAGGTCGAGAAGCCATTTTAAAAGGTATGAGCGGGACAGAGAGGGCCATCTTACCAAGCAGGGATGTTATGGATATCCGTAACCGTAACCGAAACTATCGGATATCCGAAATAAAAAAATGTCCATAACCGTAACCGAAACTGATTCAAAAGTTACGTATAGTTTCGGATAAAGGCCAAACTGCAAAACTCTATGAAAAGACAATGCCGGAAATTGGCGTCTTTTTTTTTTCGCGCGGCCATCGACCAAACTTTGTTTTTTGATTACAAAATAGTGTAATAAACCAAACTTACTATGACATGTATACCTCTAAACTCAGTCTGAACTGAGTTACGAGCATTAGAAGTTTGATGATTTTCATACTAGATTTGCTTTTTGCGCGCAAAGTTTTGTAAGAAATTGCAACAAAATAGTGAGATTGTATGTGTAAACAAACAATACCATCCATTAAAGGCTCCAGACATCAGTATGGAGCAAAATCAGCGCAATAAAAAAATTGCGCAATATTTTGTTGCAATTTCTTACAAAACTTGCGCACAAAAAGCAAATCTAGTATGAAAATCATCAAACTTCTAATGCTCGTAACTCAGTTCAGACTGAGTTTAGAGGTATACATGTCATAGTAAGTTTGGTTTATTACACTATTTTGTAATCAAAAAACAAAGTTTGGTCGATGGCCGCGCGAAAAAAAAAAGACGCCACTTTCCATACAAAATCTGGCATTGCCATTTGCAGTATAAACGCCGCAGCTGCAATGCCGCGCTGCCGATTTCATAGTTTTGCAGTTTGCGGTCTGTGGCCCGTCTTGGAATTGTAAATCTTAATATTTGTTACCAACTTGTCTGGCATTCGCTGGCACCATCTAATATGCCAGCCTGTTTTACTTTTATCATACATAGGTGTCGTCTTAGTTGGTACATAAAGTAGCTATGTGGGTCACGCTCACGCAGCATCTTGCTATTTGTATTACCTATACCTACATTTTTGAAATTCTAATAATTCCGTAACCGAAATTATCCGAGACTTTCGGATAATCTGAAATGATTTCATATCCGTGACCGTAACCGAAACCGGTATAATATTATTCTAATATCCGTAACCGTATCCATAACCGAAACTTCATATCCTTATTATCCCTGTTACCAAGTACAAGTGCAGGCAGAGCAGGTAGTAAAGGCGCGCGCGCACGGGTGACTTTTGTCACAGTATGTCAACTACTAATTACTGTCATGGTGACAAAAGTTTCTGTGACTGACTGTACGGTAGTCAGTCACAGAAACTTGAATTTTGGGCACATTAGAATAATAATTTTTAACCAAGGTAAATAAAGTTAAAAACGGGACTATTTCCAAAAAACCAAAAATTGTCGACAATTACAGCAAAAATTTACCAAGTGTTATACCATTTTGGAATCCTTACTAAATGCGCCAAATTATGACGTCACTTGCCACACTCGCGTAGTACATTTTTTTTTCAGTACAGTCAGTTTAAACTAGGCAAAATTTTTATTTTGAAATTTTTTTTGGGAATAATGTATTTTTTTCATCCAAGCTGGAGCAGCTGGTTTTGTAATTTTGATAACAATTTAGAGAAGCATTATTCAGGGTTACATAACAAAAAAAAAATTTGGAAAAAGTGAAGATTTGTGGCAACACGAGCAAAAGGACCGTCACCTGGAGTAGAATTTTTTGATTTTTTTTAAATGCCTATTATTTTTAAAATATGCCACATAGATTTTTTTTTATATTTTTCTGATAACCAGCACAACTTGCCTCAACACCCAGTTCCGGCTTGACGTTACATTACGGGACACCCTGTATATAAATTAAAGTCGTGTTAGTTACTCCACTTATAACTCAAGAACGGCTGAACCGATTTAGCTGAAAATTGTCAGGGAGGTAGTTTAGAGCCAGGAGAAGGACATAGGATACTTTTTATCCCGTTCGAAATTAAAAAAAAAGTCTGCTTATTTATTGCCATTAAGGCGGAACAAAGTTCGCAGGGTCAGCTAGTTTTTTAATAAAGACGAGTTGCAGTAAAATACCCTTAGATAAAAATTTTACAATGCTACTTGTTATATTATATTTGTTTGAGAATTTTGAGATGCGGGCCGAAGCAAGCATAGGGTTGCTTCGGCCTTCAGTATAGACACGCTTCCTAGCAGTATTAATAGCATTATTTCGAAAAATCTTGTAACATAATATGCCCCAACAAAACTACATAGGATGCCCTATCTATACTCCTGCATCACACTTTAAATTCGGTTTTCAACTTAAATGTTCTGTTTTACCCTTTCAAGTGACAATAGCCAAACGATAAAGTATTTTTTGATTTTTTTTAAATGCCTATTATTTTTAAAATATGCCACATAGATTTTTTTTTATATTTTTCTGATAACCAGCACAACTTGCCTCAACACCCAGTTCCGGCTTGACGTTACATTACGGGACACCCTGTATATTACTTTGCAGAATTTAGTAAATTATGTAAAAAGTAGGCGATAACAATACAATGTTTATTATTTTTGTCATTTTTTTTTGCAAAAACAAATATTTATTAAAATTGTAAAAATCATCAAAAACAATGTACTTAACCACTGTCGTAATATTGTATCGGGTAACAAGAATAAAATTAGTATTAGTTGATTTACCAATTTTAGCAACGCACAACTTCTTATAGAATACTACATATCAATGAGGGTTTTCGCGAATGAAAAATCCGCCAAGTGGCAATACGTAGATGCGAGTTCCAAATGCTGCATGATTGGTTATTTTTGACATGACATTGACAGGTATGTCAAAATCCACCAATCACGCCGCAGTCAGACTCCACATTCACGTCCCGCCATCTAGCGGATCTTTCATTCGCGAAAACCCTCATTAGTTTTAACTCTGAATTCTATTTTTAGTTGACTTTCAATTTATTGGTGTAAGTGACGGAGACGAAGATGAAGTTGTAACATCATTGTCATTTTTATGGCAAAAAATCTATGGGAAAGCGTATTTAGAAAAGTGTGTCAACAACTCTATAAACCAACATTTTCCCACAGACCCCTCACCCACGAGCAGCGTCGCGAAGCGGACGGTCTGATGCAGTTCGTTATCAAGGACAAGGACATGTTCAGCGTCAGCAACACTTTCGTGGGAGAGGCGTATCTTCACTTCAGCGAGGTGCCAGACACGCCCGCGCCTATATCGAGTCTGCCTCAGCAATTATTGCCACTTAGCAGGCCGAGTAACTTAGGTCAGTACATAAGTAAAGTTTAACAGTGATTTTATCTGTGACTGAAGAGGACAGAGTGAGCAACACTTTCGTGGGAGAGGCGTATCTTCACTTCAGCGAGGTGCCTGACACGCCCGCGCCTATATCGAGTCTGCCTCAGCAACTACTGCCGCTTAGCAGGCCGAGTAACTTAGGTCAGTACATAAGTAAAGTTTAACAGTGATTTTATCTGTGACTGAAGAGGACAGAGTGAGCAACACTTTCGTGGGAGAGGCGCATCTTCACTTCAGCGAGGTGCCTGACACGCCCGCGCCTATATCGAGTCTGCCTCAGCAATTATTGCCGCTTAGCAGGCCGAGTAACTTAGGTCAGTACAAAAGTAAAGTTTAACAGTGATTTTATCTGTGACTGAAGAGGACAGAGTGAGCAACACTTTCGTGGGAGAGGCGTATCTTCACTTCGAGGTTTCAGACACGCCCCCGCCTATCTCGAGTCTGCCTCAGCAACTACTGCCGCTTAGCAGGCCGAGTAACTCAGGTCAGTACAAAAGTAAAGTTTAACAGTGATTTTATCTGTGACTGAAGAGGACAGAGTGTACAACACTTTCGTAGAAGAGGCGTATCTTCACTTCAGCGAGGTGCCGGACACGCCCGCGCCTATCTCGAGTCTGCCTCAGCAACTACTGCCGCTTAGCAGGCCGAGTAACTTAGGTCAGTACCTACTTAAGTGAAGTTTAACACCGATTATTTTGAGGGTACGTAGTGTGAGTAACACTTTCGTGGGAGAGGCGTATCTATACGTTGACCAGAACTTTTATCTTAGATCAGTACCCACAAGTAGGTAACTAAAAGTGATTCTTTAAAAGAGGACAGGGTGAGCAACGTTATATTTAAGTTCATTTTAACAGTGTAATATAATTTTCCCGTTTTGTTGTAAGATAATATTAGCATCACTATACAAGTATCATTACGTTACTAGCTACGTATTCAATAAACAAGTACTTGCAATCTTCTCACTTAAGTCTACAAGCTGATAAGTGCATTTTGATGTCATTTACGAGTATTATTAGTTATTCTATCACTAAATGCACTTTAGCATACTGCGTTGTTTATCATCTTCGTAATGACAGATAAATAGACAGAATACGTTTATGAAGTAGCATCAAGTAGCATTGCACAATTTGTGCTCATCTCATTTAGTTTTGATTGAATTATATTTTGTTTGAGTCATATTTAAAGATGTTGTCAGTATTTAGAAATAGCTCAATATTTGTGTGCATCTAGCGGTAATTAAGCGGAGATATCTGACATATCTCAAGAAATAACTTTTTAACTGACTTTTGATGACGCGTCCTTAATACAGACTTCAACTCTTCTACATATAATAGAGTTACTTACGTATTAAAAGTAAGCAATTGTTTTGTTCAATAGATGGAGAGGCGATCAAGGCACTAGAGACGCGACAAGGTGACAAGCAAGCACGAGAGTTCCTCAAGAAACTAAGACAGAAGATGCCCAACAAACAGTCGATGTTCTCGCTCGGTTGAAGACTCCATGCTACTCTTCTGATTTGATCGGTGGATATTTGCAAGTGTGTTTTGGCTGTGTTATGGTTTTTAACAATACATAGAAAAGGAGACGAAATCTACAAATGGAAGGTTAAGCTTGATTTAAATGATATTCTCGGTCGTTTTGAATCAAGTAGGAATATGTTTAACAAGATTTCATTCTAGAGAAGAATCAAAATCGCATGCATTTCAAGGTAAAGTTAGGTAGACATCAAAAGAAATTGAATCTTACTATGCATATTCCTAGAATGTGTACCGATCATTCTGTATAAATGTAAAAAGAGTTAAAAGTAAGGATACCCTTTTTAAGCTTACGATTTTACGTTTACTTTATTATTATACACGTATTGGAATGTGTAAAAACAATGTAATTGTTTTGTATGTAAGTACAATGAATGTGTTCGAGCTAAAATTTTGCGAGGTGCTATCCTATTACATAATATGTTTGCGGTACGTATATTGTAGATTACATTTCTATGTATCCTTGAGATTAGAAGCGAGTATTTTAATAATACTTGCCTTTGCATTACTACTGCTTTTATGTTAATGTAAGTACTGTAACTTAGGCAATACGAATAGACTGAAATATTTTCTTCATTGCAATAATTTACTATGAGTTTTGTGCAATTGTTGTGAATGTGAGAAAACTTTACGAGAATCTCGAAGCAAATTTAACTGGTCATATCATTGGGACAATAAAATTAATATTAGCTTGTATTTATTTGTACTAATAACAAATTATTTATGTAAAGATCTCAGTACAGGCAAGATGAACCCTAAATTCATTTAATTGAGACTACAAATTTGTTTTCGTAGTCATTCATAGAATTTATATTAATTACCATAAGAATTGTATCGCGAATCGTCTTATAATAAGTTATTTCTAATTTTATCGAAAGTTTGAAAGTACAAGGCTATGATGACGTGACTGTGTTTAGTTTTAAAATGGCCCCGACCCGTATTCTGAAACTACTCTCAAAATAAGGTTGAATCATAGAGTTAAACCTGGGATTTATTTCTAAATACGGGCCTAGTCTGCAAGATTATGATTCGTGTCTAGTTTAATAGTTTTACACTCTAGTAGATTTATAAGGAAGCCGGTAGGACATAATCGGAAGTTGTACGTACAGTCATGAATAATAAACAGCCAGGTAATATAATAATTTCACGCGCGAGATTGATGAATTTACTACCTAGCTAGATTTAATTGCTAATACTTTTAATGATTAAATTAAAACATCGTTTTACATTCCTTGTTTTCATGCTTGCTATTATTGAAAAGTCTTTATCTCCACTTTATATACGTAGTTTTGGATCCATGTAAATAGCGAAATGTGTATTTTTATATAAACAATATTGAATATTGCGTGAGTAGACCAATTTGTAGGTGTGTGGTTGTAATAGTTATGTTCTGTGATAGGAAGAAGTGCCTTATTTATTTATTCTACTGCTGTCGAGGCTTGTTCATGGTTTTTATACTACTTTTTAAATTTTGCTAAACTGATTGTACGTTTCTTTTTATCTAGTTTTGTTATTTGCCATATTTTATACTTATGTATTTTCAGTTTGCTTTATAATTTGTTTTTAAAGTCTTTTATTTATGTTCTCTAAGTCTTCGTTTATTTATGAATAAAACTAAAATTGCAACAATTTACGTGTTTCAAATGTATTTCCTATTACCCAACTAAGGCTAATAACGATACTCAAATTATTAAACATTCAAGTTATTTGTAAAATTTCAATAATTAGACCAACACAAGCTTAAAAATCGTATTCTCCAATTAATTTAACAATCAAATAAAAAGTAGAAACAAAGTAGTAGTAGTTGAAACAAAAGAAACAAAAAATATTTAAGTAGAGCAGATGTACCGGTTATAGCCATTTTAAATAATTTAGGCATGTATTGTTCAATCACTAAATTATGTATTTTCATAGCGCATCTTTAAATTAATTTTCAGTGTTGACTATTTATGGTTAATTAAATTATAAAATATAATTATTTATAAATCAGTTTAATTTTAAATTATTTTTCATAGTAACCTCAAATGGCCAAAAAGGTACAATGGCCACAAAGGGGGTCTTTACCCTATTTAATATTACTTTTAAAGGAATAAAATCTTTCAAGTTACTTAAGTGTAGCGTATGCGCAGTTTTACGAGCAGACTTATTAGTAGCAAATGCCGGTAGCGATCAAAGCTGCCCACGCGCAGTGTTATTCCTCCATACAATATTGGCACTGGTCCTAGATCCATTGTCATGCGATTCACATGATTTGTATTTAGCCACAGTTACGCAGACTGCGATCAAACGCTCTTTGACTTTGTGATAGTAGGGCAAGCTATTCTAAGTCTGAAAAGGGCCAGTACACCTATTAATAAATAATTTTGAGGCAAGAACTTTTCCGCTCAAGTGATATAGGTAAATTGCAAACACTTACTACCTAATTACTTACTTATATAATTTTCAAACATAAAAGTGCCATAAAAATCCGACAATCACGTCTCTACCGTAGGTCCTACCTCCATTTTACCTACTCACATTAATTATCTTTATAAAGAAACTACTTTTAATACTTTTTCTCTCAACCTACCTATGAGTCATCTGTTTTATTCGTAGAGAAAAGTAGTATGGGACATTCACCTGCTAAAATGTGGTCGATGGCTGTAATAACATCCTGTATTGGCAAAAAACGTTTCCAATATAACAAAGCCACAACAGACAACATAATACCGCGAAAACGGCCGAATAGTTTCATAGAACAGCCATAAAACTGTGTAGGAGGATCGTAATCGTAAAACATAAAGGAATGTTTATTTGAGACAGCGTTTTTTATTAATTAGGATTCCTCGATCAACATAGAAAACCATTCTGGTCGTCAATTAATTTAAACATACAACTATCGGGGATCCCGAAAATATATTGAGGAAATGGATAAAAATTCGTTCATTTGGTACAATCTTATCTACCTTAAAAACGGTTTTCCTCAGTATGAGGGTGCCATTAAGGAAGTACATATGTGATCAATATACTCGTAATGCTATATATGGTGGGTAGCCATTATATTCCTACTGATTAAAAAGGTAAGTAGGTAATTTAGGTGCGGTAAGATTCCTCTCTCCCTAAAATAGTATTCTTTGAGTTAACCAAAAAAAAAACATCTTATATTCACTCACTAAATGCGTTAAGTACCTAGTGATTAACGCAAAACAAGCAAGTACTAATATTGTTAGGTTTCAAAATTTTGAAACTATGGTAATGAGCTTTTTTTAGTTACGAAACACTTAAGCTTACAGAAACACAAGCTTTTACAACTCTCGCGCATATCCCATAAGATAGAGTATGCGACCCATCACGCCCGTGACAGGTTGCCGGTGATTATGATCACTTCACCTTCGTCATCGTGTAGCGCGTGTCATTCGGGGCAATCGAATTAATTACAACGTCAGCGCACAAAGACCGTGACGGCCGGTGCACGGTGGTGGAAACGCGGTATCGAATCAAACGACCATTGTAGGGCTGGGGGAATTAGCACTCGTTCTAAATAAATGTGAGAAACGTTCTAAATAAATATGAGAAATTCTTCTGTGAGTAAAATGAGAATATTTATTTTATAGACTGGCCAAATGGGAGACATATTCGTGTCCATAGAGTTATTTTATCATTGCATCATATTCTTTCAAGTTGTACTGTCTACTGCACACGTTGATATTGCAATTTCTTTATTCTTGTGAGGATAACTCCTTAAAGTTAATGAAAATAATTATCAAAATCTTTTTTAAAACTAAGAGATGAAAACTTTTAAAGAGTAATCTAATATGGATTCTAAATGTTTTTAATGTGGAACCCTAAAACAGTAAAAGTAGAGCTTCGGTAAAGTGAACGAACACAAAAGGTGAGATAAAAGGAAATAGAAATTTAATTCTCAGAACTCGTCCTGATACAATTTCAGTTATAAATTCCAAATATAGAAAATCTACTTCAAATCAAATATACTTTGGTCTAGTTAAGGAAAACGCTCTGTCGAATAAGTTAATTCTACCTACTTACCTAGGTATTTCTGAGAATAGCTGTTCGTTGTTTACTGAGAATTGATAAAAATTCTATCTACGAAAAAGTAGACGAAAGTTCAATAATTTATGTCGACAATGATTGCTTAATAAAAATTCCTACTCATTAAATCTTCCTTCTATTCGCTATAAAGAAAATGCTTGAGATCCAGGCCGGCGTTAGCCTTTGAATCTCACACATACACGATAACGATGTCCTAAAACATGTTTGCGAAATTGGGCCTAGTTGATTTATTGGCAATAAGTTCCGCGTTCGCATAACATAAAGTATCCTATCAAGCGCGCTCCCTTTGTCCAGCCCTGGTAACCCTAGTTAGCGGGCGGCGTCTTTCATGTGCCCCTCTTTGATCGCGCCGCGGCTACAATCCGGCCGACTACTTATCGGTTCAGATTTATTGTGGTTCGGAGGCTGTGGGACGAGATCCGCCCCGTTCCACCATGCTTGCTGTGCGTATTCACACCGCGCGCTACCATTGACGTAAACATCTGCTAGTAGTAGAAACGTAATGACGCAAAAAATACAAATAAAGCAGATTTATAGATGAGATAAGACGTTTTTAGATTAAATGTTTCATAAATTCATCATTCCAATTATTTAATCGGTGCATTAACATATCAAAGGCTGCAGGGAAATTAAAATGTGTAATTCGAGATCTATTTCATTCGAGAGGAATACGGTTATTCATTTATTTAAAGCTTTAGGTAAGGCTGAAGAAATATGTCAGTGTTATTCGGGATGCAGTGATACGATTTTCCAGCACTAATCGAGACTAATGGTCATACATAATCTATATATATAAAAGAAAGTCGTGTTAGTTACTTCGCTTATAACTCAAGAACGGCTGAACCAATTTAGCTGAAAATTGTCAGGGAGGTAGTTTAGAGCCAGGAGAAGGACATAGGATACTTTTTATCCCGTTCGAAATTAAAAAAAAGTCTGCTTATTTATTGCCATTAAGGCGGAACAAAGTTCGCCGGGTCAGCTAGTACATTATAAAACATCATCTTAAAGTAGCAAAATATAAACACCAAAAAAGGAGCAATAAAAGTTATCACAAAATCGTTAACTGTCTTATAACGAGTAAATAATGTATATCTACATAGAGTTATTATGTAGCCGTCAATAGGTAAATACATAATCCGTTTTGGTTGCGAAAGTGACAATAGAGTGCCTGCTAATGAGTCTACCACCGCAATTACCGCCCGCTCTGCCTCAGATCCAATATAATTTCAGCCGCTTCCATATCTGTATCTTATACTTTGTATGTAGCAAGCAACACATAGTACGTCCATCACTTACCATACTTGCCTGCCTTGTTGTATTACTTTCATTATCACAATTATCTTCTGAGAAACAGGTGTTCATTTTTAGGTGGCACAAAGTTTTCAGAAAGTAAGACAATATTAACAATTATTATACATAATATAGGAAACTTACCAAAATTAATTTTAATATTGTTTTATTAATTAGGGCGTTCACCTTTTGCATTGATTTGTTGCTAAATGTCAATTACATAATTAAAAATATAAACTACTCAACACCATATTATGCAAATAGGCGATGTTGCCTTCGAATGACGTGTAGAGCGTCACAGAGAATGACCACTACGTTTTTTGCCTCCATCAGTGCGGTCCCCGGTAGCAACTGGAAGCTTCAATAAAAAAGCTCACCATTATTTTATTTCTTGCGCCGACGTGAGGTGACTAGCGATTTATTAGTTGCTATCATTGTTAGCTCGTCAGCTACCGTACAGCATTCATTACTTCATTAATTGTAACATTCCAATCGAACTCGATTCGAAGTCAATACCAAATTAACGTTTCAATGTTATTGAACCTGAACAAAGCAGATGCACATAATTTACACGAAAAACCTCCATCCACAATACAATACAAATTTTATAATTCCTTTTATTCACCGATAATTTAATATCATCAGCAAATTAACGATCGCATCTTACGAAAAAATGAGATGTTCATTGTTATGGGAAATGAGCTCTATAATAGTCTTTTATATTAAAAGCGCTTTTAAAAAGGCCGTTCCACTAAGTAATGGGATTGAATAATAAGCTATAAAGATTTTGAATGGTTTAAACGGTTTATTCTTTCCGGCCCGTTTGTGAGCGGTGGATGGTACACTTTTAGAGGGCTTGATTTACTATCCGGATCACGAGATCCTGCATCGGGAGTCGATAAAGTAAGTTTAATGAGTTCGGCTCGTATATCAGAGTCGGCATCATAAAGGTGGGTACCAACTGTCAAAGGGCTTATTGTGGCGGTGCGCCTTTATGATAGCATTTTTACA